TCTTAGCTGTTCTGTGCAGCCCTGCTCAGCAGGGTGTCTGTGGAGAGCGGGGCCCTGCAGAAATGTGCCCACTTCCTCTGATTCCCCAGGACGGGATACAACTCATTCGTGCTTGGAGTCAGAGAAGTGAATTGACAGCAATGGATGAGGTAGCGCGTTGCCGCTGGCACAGTCGCGAATCCTGCCTGGGCACAGCCCTGCCGTGTGGTCGAACCTTCTGAATGCAGGGCAGCTGCGAGCATAGCCACCGCCATCATCACAGTCATTAGATCATTTCCCCCGCATTTCCACAGCTGCACCCTGGGGTCCCAGGAGAGACCAGGGGATCCTGTTGAATTCAGGAATCTTAATGCTCTCGGACAAAAACAGACCCCTGCTCTGCCTCGTCATGGGAAGGTTTGCCTTTCCTCTGTGTCATGGGAAGGAGCCCATGTCAGGGGATTTGGTGCCGTGTGATTGGATCTGAGATGCTGGAGCTGTAGGGACTGCCCAGGCTATGGAGCAAGGAAGGAAATGGCTGCTTGTTGAGCACAGAAATGCATTAATTTGGTAGGCAGTCACTGTGGGTGCCAGGCATTGGGGTAGCATGACCCACCATCCCAGTTTACCTGGCACTGAGGATTTCCTGCAGTGCAGGCTAAAGCCGGGCTGGCCCTGGCCAAACTGGGATAGTTTGTCACACTAGGAGTGGCGACAGAGCAGCAAGCAGGACAGGTGCTGCCTGCCATTCCAGAGCAGGGCCCTTCTTCTGCGGCAGTGGCCACACAGGAGAGCCTGTGGCGGGAGTGCCCTCTCTGGCTGGGTCGTCTCTGTTCTTCACCCCTGCCCTCCGCCCGGGAGGTGAAGATCATTATCCCAGTTTTGCAGAAGCGATGGAGAGGGCACCTGTTGGCAAAGGGCCTTTTTCAGGGTGAAGGGCAGTCAGAGGCAAAGCTGGGGCTGGAGCTCTGGCCACAACCCCTGCTAACCCCTACTGCCCTGGCATCACACCTAAGTGCCACACGGTCTTTCTTCTCTTCCTGGAGAGAAAGTAGCAAAGAAATATTCCACCAGCAACATTCACAGGGAAAGCCGGCTCCAAGCCTTCATCAGCTTTCTCTTGCCCAGGGGTTGTACAGAGCCAGGGCTAGGAAGGGTTAACAGGCGGGCTAGGGTGGCTCTGCCCTGGAGCCCACAGATGAGTCCTCTTCTGTCCCAGCAGCCCACACAGTTCTCTGCAAAAGAAAATAAAAAGAGTAGGGTGGTAATGAGCCAGGCACCCTTCACTGATTTGCTAATAATCGTATCTTTCCCTTAATGGAACCAGCAAGGAGGCCACACTGACATCTGCTCTTTCCTTTTCCCCCCATTTTATTCAAGAGGCTCAGACCATGACTGGTTCAGTTCATTGTTCAAGAAACATTTACTAAGGCCTGGCCTGGGTGGCCCAGAGGTAGAGGAGGAAGAAGGGCTGGGATTGACGGGAGCCTCCCTGTGCTGGGCTATGTGGCACAGACAGATAACCAAGGCTCCAGACGAAAGCCACTGCCCCAGTGGCACTGGGCCTCAAGACAGAGTCCCTCAAATGCTCACGTGTATGTGCTGTGACTGAGCCCCTCCCAGCAGGGACATGAGCTCATCAGAACTGCTGATGCATTAGCATCAGCTCCATGTTACAGAAGAGGAAACAGACCTCAGGAGGTGTAGACATGTCCCGGGCCCCATAGATAGAACTGCTCAAGCTCAGGTCCCTCTGGTCTTATCTTCTGGGCGCAGCAGAACAGACCAGCTGGGAGAACAAAGAGCCTGTCTTCATGCTGTCTGCTGCATGTCAGGCACTGTTGGAAGTACTCAAGGACACTGCACATAGCCCAGTGGGCAGGGCCTCAGGAACCCCAGGCTTATCCCAGTCTAGTCAGACTCAGTGCAGGTGACCCTCCTGCACATCCAAAAGCATAGGATGCAGCAAAAGTCGGGATTTGAGGGTAATTCATAGCCTTGAAAAGCATCAAAATAGAGAAAGGTATCCTTTCCTCCAGGAAGCCTTCCCTGATGCCATCTCCACAGTTACAGAGTGAAAGGCCACTTCCCTGGGCCCTCTGGTGGGCACCTGTTGAGTGGTCTATCACACAGTGTTGGCATAACCCAGCTCTTGGCTGAGTGTCCCTTCTCCCACTGGATCGTGAGCTTGCTCAACACCAGGACGTGCTCATCACACCGGGTGCAAGAACCAGCAGCGGGCTAGTAAACCTCAGAATGAATGAATGGGACTGAGTGGTTTCTGTAGCCCCTTACAGCTCCAGCCCTGAGGATGGGAAATGGACAGAAGTTCCCGGAGGTCAGTCTGACCTCTCAGCCTCTCTTAGAAATGTTTGTTTCCCTTGCTCTGATCATTTCACCTACCTCGCTGTTCCAGGAACATAAACTCAGAGTTCAGACAGAGCTCAATAGAAAAAGGTGTGCTTCAGTCACTTACACTGGAAAACAGTGGGCACGAGCCACACGCTGGTGGCCGACATTGCAGTGTAATGGAATCCTCTGCAGCCTTTGAAAAGGTGCTCACAAAAGTGGAAAATGGGTTTCCACTCTCATGGTTTCAGAGAGCAGGGTGAAGGGTTGTATGTCAGCTACAGCCACCACATTCGCAGCCAAGACAGGAGGTGACAGGAGGGGACCCATGCTACACTCTGAAAGTGGCTGTCAAAGAAGGGGCTGAAATTATGTGGGATTTTTAGAGTTATTTGTACTTCTAGGACCTTTCCAAGGTTTTAATAACATTTTGTAAAACCTTATGACTTCAAAGAAACAAAACACCAGGGGAGGCGTGATGAGGGAGAGCCTGGGTGGAGAAGCTGTCTTGTCGCATGGGACCAAGAGATACAGATGTGCCCCAGCTCCTGCGAGTGACCCAGCCCGAAATCCCACATGCCACCGCTGGCCTGATGGTCTCTGCATCTCTGTGTGTGTGTCTCTCCTTCTGTGTCCCTCCCTTCTGGGGACACCCTCTACAACCCTGGCTGTGCCTCCAGGAAGTCGGCAGAGGAGACGCTCTGAGGGGAGGGCACCGCCCACTGGTCCTCCACCGGCCCCTGAGACTGGCTCTTCTGTTTCCTCCTAAGCTGTGCCTTCCAGGCCACACATGAGGAGGAGGGGGCCTCCTCTGTGCCCCTTTACACCCCTGGAAGCCTCTCCCCACAAGCCACCCATCACCTGCCCCCTGCTCTGCCCTTGCTCTGCCATTCTCTTTGGTGGCCAGAAGGGTGACTTGGGGTCTTAGAAGGTACTTTCCTCCTCACCTATGTGTGGGGCCAGTGGAACCCAGGCAGGACAGCAGGAGGCCTGACCATGCCTGAAGTCACCTGCTCTGACCTGACCATTCCAGTTAGGCAGCCAATCTTCAGAGGACCTTCCTCTTGGGGCTGCAGGGAGGACACCCAACAAGGCCCCCTTTGCAGCCACGGAACAGAGGTCCAGGGCAGAGTGTTGTGGACCAGGGCATTTCCAGTATCTTCCACTGCAGGGTGCTGGCAGCAGGCCTCGCCCAGGACGCCCATGACTATGTGAAGGGGCAGAAGGGGTGGGAGTGCTCTTTCGGCCCACATGCTTTCCCTGTGCATGTCACCGTCGCATCACCCTTACTCCACGGCTCCCACAGAGGAGCATCAGCTATGGCAGACCACAGGGCTCAGGCTGGCTCCCGGAGCCACACAGTTTGTACCCAGATGACATGAAGTCAATTACAGACTGCAGGACCCCCACTTCTGTGACCTCCACAACTGGGTCACAACAGGTAACCTTCCCCCAGCAGGAAGGGCCCTCCCCGTCTTAGCCTGCTAGGGCTGCCACAGTGAATGACCACAGACTGGGTGCTTGAACAACAGATGTGTGTTCTCAGTTCCGGAGGCAGGAAGGCTGAGGCCAGTGCACAGCAGGACCATGGGAGGTTGTGGGGGCTTCTTCCTCCCTCCTCCAGCTCCTGGGGGCTCTAGGGGCTCCTTTGCTCCCAGCTGTATCCTCCGGTCTCAGCCTCTGTGTCTGTGCATTCTCCTCTTCTGTCCTGTATGAGGACATTTGTCACTCACTGCAGGGCTCACTCGAATCCGGAATCAGCTATCAGGATCTTTTGCTTGATTACATCTTCAAAGACCCCCACTTCCCAAATATGGCCGCATGCTCATGTCTTTTGGGGGTCACCATCAAACATGCCACCCTGACCACTGGCTCGCTCCCCTGAGAGGGGCCACACCCTCCCCATCCCCACCCCACCCCAGCCTTGGGCTCCTTCCCTGCTGCTGCCCAGTTAGGAGGCTGCCTCCTTGTCTGCAAGCTCTTGGGGTCTGTGAGCAAGCAAGGGGAGAGGGATTGGCTCCGTGCTCTTCCGCCCAAGCCCACCTCCCTACGCCTGGAGGGTCCACAGGTCCCAGGCCTGTACAGCTCCCTGAGCACCTGTTCTTTGCTGGGCTGTGTGCCAGGCACGCTGGACAGGCTGACAGGATGAGGAAACCATGGTACAGCCACTTCACGGGGAGTGCCAGAGCCCATGTGCGTTCCTCCTGGGGAATGAGATCAAGACACCCCTCTGGGAGTGTGTGGTCTTGCATACCCCCGAGGAGAGGGGCCCAGGGCCTGCCTGTGCTCCAGAGCTCACCTGACCTGGGCACTTGTCTCCACAGTGTCAGACTCTCACCTGGATGTGAGCCCCTGACTCACTAGAGAGGTCCTCCCCTTCCAGGTGGGCTGTGGCAGGAGCCTCTGGCAGGCCCTCCCAACTGCCTCTCCAGCGGGGCACAGACCCCACTGAATTACAGCTCTAGCCACCACACCTGCCTTCACAAGGTTCCTTTTCTGGAGACCAGGAACTGTTCACTCATCTGTGTCTCCAGTGCCCAGCCTGGCAGGGAGTGGGTGGCCACCTTGAAGGGGGAAGGACAGAAGAAATGAATGAATCAGTGAGTAGGTAGGGGAGGCTAGCTGGGCCATGCAGGCCAGCCCAGCCCCTGACAGTCTCGTTTCCCTTGCAGATGTGCTGGTAGATGGACAGCCGTGTGACCGTGAGGTCGCAGCGGCCTGCCAGGTGGGCAACCCCGTGCGCCTGGAGGTGCGGCTGACCAACCGGAGCCCACGCAGCGTTGGGCCCTTCGCCCTCACCGTGGTCCCCTTCCAGGACCACCAGAATGGCGTGCACAACTACGACCTGCATGACACCGTCTCCTTCGTAGGCTCCAGCACCTTCTACCTCGACGCTGTGCGTGGTGGTGTGCAGGGCGGGCTGGGAGCCTCCGACCATGCGCCCAGGCCCTCGTGGTCATTGTTCCGCTTCCCTGGGTGTGGGGGCTTTGGGGTCAGCATACGTCCAGCCCACGACAGCAGCAGTGGTTCTGTGGTCACGTGTGTGACCACACTGGGGCTGCCCCATTCACTGCCGGAACTTACATGAGCTCACCTCTGTCTCTGAGTCCTGGACGGTGAGGCCCTGAGGGTTGGTGAAGCAGGAAAATGCTCTGGGAACGGGAGCTGGGCCCAAGACAGGGCGCCGCTCGTGATTTGACCCTCTGTGGTATCACTGTGGTGTTACCATCACCATCACCGTCCAGGGCCTGCTGCTTCTCCCATGAAGAGGCTGCAGCCCACGCCCTCAGCCCCCACCTCCCAAGCCGCCTCTCAGCACCTCCTCACTGTCAGGCTCCAGTGCAGGCTGACATTCCATTCTCCCTCACCCAACCTCTCCCTCCCTCCCACACTCCTGACCCCGTGAACTCCTAAACAGTTCAAGGATGGGAATGTTGGTGACTCCTTTCAAAGACAAAAATGGGCTTGGAGAGGCATGGCGACCTGCTCGAGGGCCTGCTGGAACAGGCCTTGGGGGCCCTCACTTCCCCCATAGCACTGATGTTCAGGCAGGTTCCCGGAGCTCCAGGTGGCTTGGGTGGCTCATGCTGCTGACCAGACTGATGCATGTTTCTCCTCCCCCTCAGGTGCAGCCGTCCAGCCAGTCGGCCTGCCTCGGGGCCCTCCTGTTCCTCTACACGGGTGACTTCTTCCTCCACATCCGGTTCCACGAAGACAGCACCAGCAAGGAGCTGCCGCCCTCGTGGTTCTGCCTGCCCAGCGTGCACGTGCGCGCCGTGGAGGTGCAGGCCTGAGCTGCCCATGACCGTCCCTCTTTCTGCAGGCCCAGAGGTGACCCTGCCTGGCCTCCCACACCCCCTGCGATGAGCAAGGCCTTGGCTGCAGCCCCATCTCCTCCTCACACCCCCACTCAGCCCCCTGCTCACATTCCTCCTGTAGCGTCTTTGCTGGGCCACGCAGAAGCCCCTGGACAGCACCCGGTGGCAGCCCCGCCCCATGCCACACCCCTTCCCACACTGTTCCCTGGACCATGCCCAGGCTGGTGTGGAGTAAACCCCAGAGCAGGGGCCCATCCAGCCAAGGTCCCAGGATCCCTGCATTCGTTCCTGTGACCTGGACCCCCAGCCACGCTGTGCTGCTCTCACCCCAGCAGAGGGACGTCCCTCATCCAGCCACCTCCCTTTGGCCATAGAAAGAAATGGTGAGCATGAGGCTGGGCATGGCCTGAGGGTGTGGGCAGCTTCTCTCCCTCCCTGGGCCTTGGAATCCCCCAAGGCTGGTTCTCTTCCTGGAGACCCCCATGGCAGCTTGGCAGGAGAGATGGTGCTGTAGGTGGTCATGGATGGCTGACACCAAGAGGGGCCCTCCACCATGGCAGGCAAATGTCCAGGCCTGGGCTGGCTGCTCCGAAGCCCAGGGCTGTTTCTGGGTGCCCCCTGGCCCCAGGGTGGTCTCTGGGTACAGTGGCTATCTGTGTCCATGTCTGTGAGCAGTTCTTCAATAAATGGCCTGCCTCCTCCTCCCTGCCTTCCTGCATCTGCTGGCCCAGTGTGGTTCAGGGCCCCCACTGAGCCTGTCAGCCCCCAACTCAGGTGGCTGGCTTCCCAGCAAAGGCTGGACCCAGGAAGGGACAGGGTCTGAGTTAGAGTTCCCGCATAAGCAAACCCTGAGACAGGAATCTAGGCACCAGCAGCTTGTGTGGGAGGTGGAGGGAGCCCCACAGGGGAGGGGGATCACTAGTGGCAGAGTGTGACTGAGCCCAAGCCACCGACAACAGTGGGCACCTGGCCCTGTGTTCCTCAGCGAGAAGGGGAGAGGGAAAGCACATGGCTCACATCTCCCTCGAGGGTCAGAGCTGGGGTGTGTCTACACCACCCCCAAGAGTCCTGGCCTGGGGGCAGGCTCCTGGCTGTGTTCACCCTTGGCTCCTCTGTTTCCAGGGAGGATAAACAGTCCTTGGTCCCCAGCAGATACCAGGCTTGTCAGGCACTCCTGGGGCACTGAAAGCCTCAGGGAGTATTGGGGGACAAAGAACAGGGCTGGGGCTTCCCCAAGGCCACTCTGCCAAACAGGCAGAGCCAGGAAGGCGCTGCTCTGACCTCCCATGGGGAAGAGTCATGTTGGCATCAGGAGGCCTGTGGGGCTGAGGGAGCTTCCTGAGGACCTGAAACCCCAGGCCTAAACCTCCCTTGCTGCAAGCAAGGTCACCCTTTGGCCTCTGGCCTGAGGAACAGGTTTTTTGCTCCATCCGTGACCTCCTGTTGTCACTCAGTGAAGGATGGGAGCATGCTGTGATGTGACATAGGCTGGGGGCATGTGGGGGCAGGTGCCCAGTGGCCCTTGGCCCCTGGAGCTCATTCAGCATCTTCTCAAAGCTCCAGGGAAGGCAGCCCGGAAGGTCTGGCTGCAGTAGTGGGTGGGGACCCCGGGGTGGTCTCTCCAGCCCTTCCCTTCAGGACGCAGCAGTGCACCAGGCGCCTGGCTACTTGGGCTGTTTCTGAATGGAACAAACAATGTCCATGTGTGTCAGCCTCAACAGAGCCCAGAAATATGTCACCGAATGAAACACGTTCCAGGATGATGGATGCAGCCCAACCACACTTGTGTAGACAGTGTCCCCCCTAATCATACATTGTCTATGCCTCAGAACGGATCTGTAACATGTTTAAAAGACAGAAAGGATACACCTCCCCTGTAGAATAGTGACCTCATCTCGGGATCTCAGAATGGGGGTGGTGGTTACAGGGACTTTAGGAACATGCATTCTTTTGAAAAGCACAATAGATGCAAGATACAGGTACACACAGAGCTATAGGTACACACAGAGCTACAGGTACACACAGAGCTACAAGTACAGATGTAACCGTAGATCCAGATTCAATATAGACGCTCCTGCGTAGAAGCCTAGAAAAGCCAATATGGAAACTCTGGCAGTATTTGATTCTGAGTGCCAGGCATATTGGTAACTGTAATTCTTTTTGGCAGTTTTCTATATTTTTTAATTTCCCAAAATACAAAAAATACCCACAACAGTTACCAGAGAAAATGTGGATGCCACCAGAAGGAAGACTCTCAAGGGGCAGGAGGCAAAGTTATCTTCTTGGAGGAGGGGGTGTTAGAAATAACCCAGGCTTCTTGGAAAATGACCCGAATACAGCCTGGCGCTGCCAGCCTCAGCCCGTTCCCCACCCCAGGACACCCTTTCTGTCCTAGTGGAGAAGGTGACCTGGAGTCAGGCCCTGCGTGTGCTCCAAGCATTTGGAACTTCACTGTGGGACGTGGGCAGCCAGGGGTGTTGTTTGCTGGCATTTCTGTGGCTGGGTCATTCTGGCCATGGAGCTGTGTTCGTGGACAGTGGCTAAGATGGAGGACCTGGGGCAGGTGTCTCAGGGGCAGTGCAGAATCCTCCAGGCTCTTCCAGGGCCCCATGCTGCTGGCTACCTGGCAATACAGTCTAGCAGTTGCTGCTTTTCTAAGCCCCTGGTGCATTCAGAAACCTCCTGAAGGCCAGCGGAGGGTAAGCCAGGAATAGACCATGTCCACTTCACTTCACTAGCTGAGCGTGTTGGTTTTGCCCTTCTGATCCTTGGTCCCTCAGGGCAGGACAGGCCTCCAGTGACCCCATAATCATGCAGCCATCATGCTCTGTCATCTGAAATTCACGAGGAAGGCAAGCATTCAGAGGAAGATGTCTGAGAAGCTGAATTTCAGCTCAGCCGCTTGTCAACTCCTTGACCTTGGACGAGTTACTTAAATTAAGCCTTTTTTAAAAAATCTGAGTAAATAGACATAAAAGATACTTATTTCATGGGCACTTTCATACTAGTTTGTTTTATTTAATCTCCTAGATTTTTTAGCACATGATAGCAAGTGCTCAATAAATACTGGGTCCCTTCTCCTAGCCCTCCATTAATTCCATCCACATGGCCTATGCCTGAAATATCCTGTGCCATGTGCCTGAAATTCCATTCTTCTCCTGGGACCCTTAGGAGGACACATGCTATTCTCCATTAGTCCCCTACATGGCTTAATGTATTAGGTAACATGAGGCATATAAGGCAGAACTTCCTAACACAAGTGCTCAAATGGGACAGGGAGTGCCAGCAGAGTGAGCACTTTGTCAACAGAAGTATTCAAGCAAAGTCTGGACCTGCAGATGTTTTTTAAAAAATGTGAGCATCATTTGGGGCCTCTGAGCCTGCCAGCCAAGAAACTGTCCATGATGACTTGGTAAGAGGTATTTCTGATCCAAGTAAGCAGGAAAGAGAGAGTGAGAGGTATGTGACCACATGGCTCTTGGGTCCTCAAGTAGTGTCTTAAGACACAATAAATATTGATCAAAGAAGGATTTCCACATGAGGGACTAGAGACCTAGACTGGGGGTCTAGGCTAAGCCTCTTACTGAAAACAACTAAAAACATATTTGTAAGTATATCCATGAGCTGGCAGGAGAGTCAGAAATACAGTACCTGTGTGTAGGCAAAGTCCTGAGATGTGAGCTGTGCACTGATGCCAGCTTCCACTTTGAGGGCTTTTGCCAAAACAGGAGTATCAGTTTCTTCAGCCTTCTAAAACTGAAGGGAAGATGACAAATCCCAGGCCCGCTGGCTGGGGAATCTAGCAGGTGAGAGCCCAAAGATTACACCTTGAGTAAAGGATGAACTAAAAGCAATCCTCTTCCCACCCTGCTAGGGGAGTAGACATAACGCTTTCCCTGTCTTGACCCTTTGATTCCAAATTGACCCTCCCATGAATTCACAGTCCCAAATTACACTCCCTAAATGCCTCTTCCAAACCTTAAGTTTTAATTAATTTCAAAGTGGGCCTAGATAACACCCCATTATACACACAGGTACCAGACATAGACGTAAACACATCCTTTCTGGAGGAATTCACTTTTATCCAAAAACCTGAAAGGAGTTCTACAAGGAAAATGATTAATTCAGAGTTTAAAAACAAAGAAAGTCATGGAATACACAAGGAAGCAATGCATCATGAGTGAGAGCTAGGAGAGACAAAATCAGCAAAGGCAGGCTTGAAAAAGAATCAGATACTGGACTTATCAGACGTAGACTATAAAATGACTATGCTTAACATGTTATAAGAAATGAATGAAAAAGGAGATTAAAATGGATAAAGAGCCAGAATATCATAAAAAATCAAGCAGAACTTCTGCAACTGAAAATGTAATTGAAGTGAAATATTTAATGAATGACTTGAAGAGCAGATTAAACTCAGTTTAAGAGAGAACTAGTGAATGAAAGATAGGATTGACGATGTTATTAAAAGTAGAGACCAGAAAGACCAGAAAATAGGAAAGAAACTTACGGAAACGTGGAGGACAAAGTGAGAAACTCAAATATGTCTAATTGGAGTTCCTGGAGGAAAAGAAAAGGAAAATGGAGAAAATGCAGTATTGAAGAAATAAAGACTGAGAATGCCTCAAAACTCAAGGATAAAAATCCACAGATTCAAGAAGCCCGAGAAATTCCAAGTCACATGACATTTAAAATACACAGTTGACACATCATAATACCATTTCAGGAGACCAGATGCAAGGGTATGATTTTTCAAAGAGAAAGGCAAGACAAATTACTTTCCAAAAAGTGGCAACTGATTGACAGCTGACTTCTCACCGCCAGCAATGGAGTCCAGGAGTTAGTGAAATAATATCAAGAATGTGCTGAGCAACAAAAATACTTTTCAATAAATAAAGTAATGACATTTTATTATAAACAAAAGCAGGGTTTTCCACCACCAAAACCTCATTAAAGGGAATTTGAAAAAATGAACCACAAATAGAAGGAAATTGATACCAGATGGTGTGTCAGAGATGCAAGAAGGAAGGAAGAACAATTCAGTGATCATATGTGGGTAAACCCAAATAAACATTTACAGTCCACATGGTCATAATTGTGAATTATTGAGTACAGCATAATAGAATTGACATACATAGCAAAATGGCACATAAATGGTGGTGAGGAGATGATTGGAATTAAAGTGTGATAAGGTCCTTTAATTTCAATTCCCAAGGTTTAGGAGAAGGGTAAAGATATTGACTGACTTAGACATGGGCTTTGTGCTTTATTTATGAAAGTTTTAGCCAGGCATGATGCTTCGTGCCTGCAATTCCAGCACTTTGGAAGGCTGAGGTGGGAAGATAGTTTGAGCCCAGGAGTTCAAGACCAGCCTGGGCAACATAGCAAGGCCCCATCTCTACAAAGAAGTTAAAAATTAGGAGTGGTAGCTCATGCCTGTAGTCCCAGTTACTCAGAGGGCTAAGATGGGAGGGTCACTTGAAGCTGGAAGGATGAGGCTGCAGTGAGCCATAATTGTACCAATGAACTCCAGCCTAGGGGACAGAATGAGAACCTGTCTCATAAAAAAGGTTTTCCAGTTTCCATTTCTGGGGTAACTCTCAAGAAGATGAAAAATAGCATGAACAAATTCTAAATTTGTGAACCCCAAAACAGGAATAAGGAAAATGAATCAGTCTGAAAGAAGTCAAGAAAGGTTAGA